TCCCGCCGGCTCCCGCGGGGCTGCTGGCACCCCACGAGTGTGCGGGCCCTCCTCGCAGCCAGGCGGGGCCCTGTGAGGCGGGGCCTTGGGGAGCGCCAGGCCTGAGGGCTGGGGTTAAGCCCCGCGCTGCACCGGGGCAGGGAGCAGGTGGCCGACAACTGTGAGGGGAGGTGAGAAGCAACAACGCCGTGGCGGGAAACCGAAGCATGTCTGCGTTGTTTCTTACAGTTGAATAGGCTGGGGCCTCTGGAGGCGTCTTGACTCTCTGGAGGTGTTTTGGCTCCTGTTGAAGTGGTGGGAGAAGAGGTTAGGGAGCAGCGAGACTAAGTGATGAAGTGCTCGGACCTGGTGGTACCACTGCAGAACAAGCCACTGGCTCTGATGTGTGATATCCTGTGTAAAGTACAATGCTAGTGCTTAAAAGGTGGCCTGGGGAACTGCAGGCTCATACTGCACATGAATAGGAGCTAGAATAACGAAGAGCGGAATGAATATGTGGATAATAGGATGTTGAGCTGCCCATGGTGAGGCTCTGCAGGAGCTTGTGATGAGCAGTATACCCAGAAGGGAAAGGCAGCGGCAGTCACCTGAACAAAGATAAGGAGCCTGGAGAACCAGGCAGCGTGAGTAAGCTGTGGGATGCAGTCCCACAGGGCTTGGTAGTCACTGAGCCTTCTCGTGGGCTGGAAGTAGCCCAAGCAGCTCGCTGGGAGAGAAGTTCTTGAGACCCTTCAGATGCAAGCCGTGCAAGTCAGCCTCCTCCTGGGAAAGTCTCACATCTACTTGCCTGTTCTCACACTGTCCATCTGCTGGCGTTCACAGCCCATCGAGAACATAGGCCTGGGAGTGGGGCAGACTCCCAAGTGACCTACATGGCAGCCCAAGGCGCGATGGCCCCGGTGAGCTTGCAGGCTCCGGGATCTGACAGGCAGCCCTCGCCCTGGGCTTCCTGGTTCCCAGCATGGCAACACTGGCCTTCGCTTGGCAGGAAGTGACCAGCTGTTCTGCAGAAAGCTGGATGCTGGCCAGAGCCCGAGTTCAAACAGAGCCTGTTAAATGGCCTTTTCCCCGTTCCTCTGTGTTTAAAGCCCTGCTTGCAGCCGTAATTCTATTTATAATACCCAGGAAAAGCGAGCTGAGACTTTCCCACAGTGCTGGCTTCTCAGGCGATTGTTGTTCAGGAAGCTGGAATGTACACAGTCTTATTTTTGTATCCCCCTGGGAAGTTGTTTTTTTTTTTTTTTTAATGTGTGTCACTCCATGTCCCCATCTGTGCCGAGGAAAGTTTGCAAAGCGCGAGGTCTCCAGCTGCTGCTTAGAGCTCTGGAATGCTTTGCCGAGGTGCCGCTGGTTCAGGTGTCTGCCTGTGTGCCCCTGTTGGAGAGAGTGGTGGGTGCTCTGAGAGACATCCTAATAGCCACGGGGCTCGAAGCCAAAGAGGGTATTGCTGATATCCCCTGTTCTCATTACTGAACTCCAGGAGCACCTGGCATGTCGCTTGCTTGCTCTCTGCCTCAGTGTCCTCCGTGTGCAGAGGAGGGAAGATGACAATCCTGCTCGGAGAAACGGGCTCATCGTCACTGCCCTGCCTGGGGTTTCGGCAATGAGAAGTGCCATTGTGCCATGGTTTTGGGGTGGCACAGAGATGCCGCGTGAGGCTGGGCATAGCAACCGGGTCATGGTGTCACCATTCGCTGGGGTATTGCTGCCAGCGGAGTCCAGCAGGCGCTTTTTTTGCCTTTCTTGGCCATGTGAGGCCATTCCCCACACAGGGAGCTGCTGTGGGATAGTCTGGGCAGGCTGTGGGCACGGATGGGCTCTGGCAGCTCTGCACCACCCCTGCCCTTTGTGAGCTCCTGGCAAGCACCCGCAGGCCCCGCACCTCCCGGGCAAGCAGGTATTTTACAGAGCAATGAAACACCGTGCTTAGACTGTTATTCCGGCCGAGAGAACGCCCTGCCTGTCCTCTCCTTAGGCCCTCGTCATCTGGCAACACTGCCTGCAGCGCTTGCGGCTTTCCCTTTCCCTGCTCAGGAAGACCCTGTGCCCCTTTCGTTCTTACATGTCTGGGAGGGTGTTTCTGCTGTCCCTTGTTTGCTGCCCTCACTATCAGCAGCGAGGCTCTGCCGGGTGCCGTCACCCTTCTCCCACTGATCCGTCATCCTTCTCTCGGTTTTTATTTCTCAGATAAAAGCTCTTTGCAGGCAGCTTTGCAGGCAGCTCTGATTGCTCTGCATGTGTTTTTAGACTGGTACCCCAAGCGGCAGCCCAGCAGAGCCCAGCTGTTTCTGCCATGCTCCAGTTCTGCCAGCACTGTGTCGTGCCTTTGCAAAATCATTTCTCCCGTGTCCTCTCCTGGCCTGGAAAAGGTTTTATTGCCCTGCACAGGGTTTTGGCAGTGAGAAGTGCTGTTGCGCCACATTTTTGGATGTTTTTTTTTCACTACAGCCAGTCTGATGTAGGATGGGCACCTCTGAATAGCTTTGCTGTTTGTTGCACCAGGTTTTGGGATTGATTATCCCAAATTCTACATGTGGAACAGATGACATCCACAACCTTTCTATTTTAGAGGCTTGCAACATTAGTTGTGCATCTCGTAATTATTCTTATTAATTATTGTGATTAATTGTGGACTATGTAGCTCTTAAACAATACTCCACCAGGACAAACTACAGAGATGCAGTTTTTCCCAGCTGGGGAATGGTGACCCAGAGCTCATCTGCACCTGGAGCTGGTGACCACTTGTGGACTGGGGCTGGGCAGGCGGGTAGCCCAGCCTCTTGGAGCTGTCTGACACTGAGATGGAGGATGCAAGATAGAAACAGGCAAGGACAAGAGGGCAGGAGGACAACCGCTCCGTCACAGCCTTCTTGTGTACAGGACTGACAGCAGAGGCGCTGCCCAGATGTTTGGGGCCATGGAAGAAAGCGGGGTCCCTGCGGGACAGGCTGTCCCTTGAACATTTGCTCTGTGCTCTGCCTTGGCTGCAGTCCTGGCCACACTGTCTTTGTCTTTGTGTGAGAAACGGCCAGAAGCGAGTTCACCTGCTCAACCGGCTCCATGGCAATGCAGTCACAGGGTCTCTTACTGACCTCGCAGTGATGTGGCCACTCAGATAAAGAAAATGGTGCTATTGCAGAGGCAGTTGTACCAGGGAAGCGGCGTGCTGCAGCCCTTCCCTGTGCCTGTTCCCCCAGTGAGTACCACACATCTGTCCCTTGGCTGTGCCCTCCCCATCGGAGCAAAGCACAGCCAGCGTTGGGGTGCATGATGGATGCCACGTCCAGCCAGAGCCTCAGTCGCAGTTCCTCGGTACCTACAGCAATGCTGCATAGCTGGCTGCGTTTGAAAGGTGTTGCCTAGTGGAAAACACTTCCAAACAGAAGTTTCAAAAATAAAGATAGAAAAGGGTTGGTAGCTTTATATGTAATTAATACCCTGTAGTTATTTAAAAACATCTTCAGAAACATGTCATTCAACTTTCTAGGGCTGTACGCGTATCTGGGAATGTAATTATGTTTTCAACAGCAGCCTTTTCATCCCCTGTTCCGTGATTGTTTTTTTTTTTTTTTTTTAACATGAGGATCTTGTTTTGCTGGGGGAAAAATAAAAATGAACACTGCCAGGGAATTTTGTTTTTATGCCTCTGTCCTCCCAGCCCAGCTGCCAGTTTGGTCTTCCTGTGCCGACACGTCTATATCATGATATCATGTTACAGCCATAGCAGCACCAGCAGTGTTCCTGGGATTTTGGCTCCCTGTGTTTCTAGGTGAGCCATGGATAAATTCCCTAAAGCCGGTCCATCTGTGCAGCTGTGAGGCTGGAATTGTGTCTTGAGGTTTTCATGCGAGTATCTGTCTCAGAGGTGGATTTTAATTGTTTAAACTATTGGACTGTTTGGCATCACTAACCTGTGTCTTCTGTCAGCTTCACATCTGTAACAAAAAGAAGAGGTTCCTTCCAAGCCATGCTGATACAGTTTTCTGCTGTTCCTTTCTGGTTCCAATGGGATGAGTTGATTCCTTGGCAGACCTGCCTGGAGCTGGGGGTCAGATGTAAGGCATGTTGCTGACATCAATGGCTTTCTTTTTTAATCAGCTTTGTCAGAATTTGTTATTTAGCCATTAAGCAGTGGCAGCGCAGAGTTCACGCATGAGCTGAGTTGAAAATTTGCTAGGTGTGAATTAGTGATGAGAGAAAAGCAGGTCAAGGAACTCCTTGTTTCAGGGCACACTGAGCGTCAAGCTTAGCTTGAGCGATAACTGGCACGTCCAAGGCCTTGAACCAGGGTATGAGCAGAAGAAAGAATGTAGAAATCACGGCAAGGGATGACTTCCCTCTGCTGTGCTCTGAAGAGATATTGTCCTTCTTTGAGCCAGTGGGATGTGCATCAAAGGTGTTCTCATGCAGCATCAATTTGGGGCGTGTTGGGATGGGATGAGGACCTGAATGGTGTCAGGGGGATGAGAGCTGGTGATATGACACCGCAAGATGGGTCTGCCATGGACTTGTGTGTCACTGATGAGCCCGGTGCTCTGGAATGATGCTCTGGGTCAGCAGCAACACCTTTGCAGACACTAGAGAGGGCTCTGCTGGGATGATGGGATGGGCACAGGGTGAGATGCTAGTGCAAAAGGCATGCTAGAGTGAGTCCCTAACAAACCTGCTGTCCCTCCAAGCGCAGTGTTGGGGTGGGTTGCCCTGGAGAGGCAGGCAGGGGTTTTACTGGCAAACACTGGAAAAAAGGCGGTCCCTCCACCTGTGATCTCCTGGCATAACAGAATGCCAGGGAATGGGGTGTGATGGAAAAAGTAAGCCATGAAGTACAAAGCCTACAGCAAAGATGGGAACGTGTAGGTGCAAGGTTCAGGCATGCGGCTCCCAGCTGGAGACTGCGTCAACTGAGAGCTGGCGGCAACGCGTACCTGTGGGAGCAGCACTCTCCCAGCAGAGGTTAGCTCAGGAAGTCACTTCTTTCTTGCTCAAAATAAATGCTCCTGTGTTTCCCTGCCTCTGTTTCCCCTGAAAGAAGCTGCTTCTCTGCATCATCCCTGCTCCTCTGTGCTCGGAGCTCTTTTCCTTGGCTGCTCATGGAATAGGTCATGCTCCAGGACACAGCCAAAGGTTGCACTGAGATACAAAAAAGGGGAAAATCTGAGGACGAATTGGTAAGAAAGAGCACACAGGAAAGCATGCAGGTGGTGAGGAGGTGTCTTGCTGCTGGCATGTTACACATCTGAATCCACCTAGGTCTCTGTATTGATTTTTGTAAAAGCTCTTTCAATTATTTTTACAATGAGCTCATCTTTTCTGGCACATCTCTTCTCCCTTGTTCTTTTAATACAGGCATGGCAGGCTTTGTTTCACCTCTCTTTAGTCATCTGCATGTGAACCGGGAACAGGCAGCTCCGCTTGTTGTCGCTGAAGAAAAACAGTTACCTTCAGGGTGTCTTGTCTTGGCTCCTTTTAGATGCTGTGTGAAGATGGGATGAATGGAGCTGGAGGTGTTTCTAATAGAGCTGCCTGAACTTAGCCAAAATCAGGCCCATGTACTGCCTCTGTGCAACGGGACTTGCTTGGAAGCTGGTTTTACTTATCTGTGTAGTTTTGGTGGTTCGGGATACCTTCCTATGAATGGAAATGGGGTTGTGGAAAAGGATGTCTGAGCGGTGTGTCAGCGTGCAAAGGCACGATGATGATGGGAACCACTGCTAGTCCAGCCAAAAATCCAAAAGGCATCTTGGAGTTGCATTTTTAAGACCACAAGTTGACTGCACATTGCAAGTACAATCTGAAAATTAAAGCCTTGCATCTGCTCATGGCATTTCTCAGTGTCTGAGTGATGCTGCTTAGAAATTTCATGGGACAAGAAGTCAAAACTATGTCTTGGTGAAGCTTG